CAAATGAAAAATCATTCTAAAAAGAATATATGTAAAATAGTTACAAATAAAGGAAGTATATTATCTACACAATCTACAATATTAAAAGAAATCGTAAATTACTATAAAAATATTTTCTCACACATCAGGTAACTCCTCTTGATACTGAGATTTCTTCCCAAAAAAATTTGATGGAAAACTAAGTGAATTAGAAAAACATCTATGTGAAGGCCTTATAAGTGAGGAAGAACTTTCTGAAGCTGTCATGTCCTTTCAACAAGGGAAAACCCCAGGAATAGATGGAATACCTATTGAATTTATTATCAAACATTCTTCAAAGAAATCAAGAAAACCATTACTCTTGAGTTTTAATTACTCATATAGAATGGGGTATTTGACTGACTCCCAAAAAGAAGGTCTCATTTCATTGTTATTGAAACAAGAATCAAATGGTCAGTACAAAGAACCCAGTATATTTTAAAGAATTGGAGACCTATTACTCTCCAGTGTTATGATGCAAAAATACTCGCAAAAATGTTTAGCTCTAAGACTTAAATCCATTTTGCCAACATCATTCACCAGGATCAATCTGGCTTCTTACATGGTAGAAATATAGGTAATAACATTAGACAGCTGTTGGAAATAATTGAAAATTATAATACAGAGAATAAAAAAGGACTAATTTTTGTTGCAGATCTAGAAAAGGCATTTGATCAGATAAACCTAGAATTTATATGTAAAAGTCTTTCTTTTTTTAACTTTGGTGATTCTCTAATAAATTGGATTAAAACATTGTATAACAAAACAAATTGTAGAATTATCAATAATGGACACATCTCAGAGTCAGTACCCCTTTTAAGAGGCCTAAAACAAGGATGTCCGTTGTCGCCATACTTATTTATTATTGCAATGGAAATATTAGCTATTAAAGTTAGATTGGATAAAAATATAAAAGGGTTAATTAATAACAACATAGAAACTAAAATATCAATGTATGCTGACGACACGAACTTCCTTATTTGCCCTAAACCTCATTATGTACAAAATCTATTGGACCTTTTGGAATCCTTTTCCCAACAATCTGGACTAAAATTGAATTATAATAAGTGTAAAATGTTGAGGATAGGCAGTTTAAAAGGTACAAAGTTTACCATGGATGTAAGTAAAGTACCTGTTGTATGGACTGATGGGCCAATAAATGTACTCGGAGTTGTTATCCCAGAGAACCTTGAAGACCTATGTTCTGTTAATTATAGTAATAAAATTAAGAAAAAATTGATAAAATTGTTCAATTATGGAAAGGGAAATTTTTGACCTTATATGGGAAAGTATCTATTATTAATTCTATTATTGTTCCTCAATTTATATATCTATTTATGTCATTACCATCTCCTTCACAAAACTTCTTTAAAACCTATGAACAAAAGATCTTTGACTTTGTTTGGGATAGCAAACCAGAGAAGATTCAGAGAGGGGTTTTGTACAATGATTATAACTGTGGGGGTTTTAAACTGCTTAATTTAGAAGCTTTATGTTTCTCTCTAAAAGCATCAATGGTTCAAAAACTTTATTTAAATACAGAGTGGTACACGAGCATTTTGTTGGACAAAAAACACTTACTATGGCAGCAAAAAACTGTATCCCTTTTTGCAACTGATGCCCTCCCACTTTCTATATGTGGATAATTTGATTGGAAATAGATCTAGCTTTATAAAAGAATGTCTGCATGCATGGTGGCGCTTCCAATTTCATAAACCAGAAAAAAGAGATGACATCCTACAACAGATCATATGGTACAATTCAAATATTGTGATAGATAGGAAACCTTTCTTTTGGAAAAAAATGTTTGAAAAGGGTATTATTTTTGTAAATGATCTAACCAATGAAAAAGGTAAGATCATTAAATATGAAGAATGTACAAATGTATATGGTAATGTTTGTTCACCTCACTCATATAATCAAATCATTACAGCTCTGGGAAGGAAATGGAAGCAACAAAATAAATCAAGGGTTTCATAAACTTTCAGTGTGTAAACCATCAACAAAAAAATCTATTTGGATGAAAGGAATAAAAATAAACCAACAAATAAATAAATTTTATTTATCATATAACTCATTAAAGACAATCCCTTACAATACATTTAGAAAGTGGGAGGACATAATTGACTCTCCTTTACCATGGGAGTGGATTTTTAAATTAATTTACAATACCAATATTGATGTACAAAATAGATTTTTTCAAATCAAAATAATATACAATTTTCTGCCTACAAGGAAAATGTTAAAAATTTGGAATATGATAGATACTAATGAATGCCGTTTTTGCTGTTTGGAAGTAGAGTCGACTGAACATCTGTTTTGGTACTGCCACATTGTATCTTCTTTTTGGAGTGAGGTAGAGAAGATGTGTTTAGAGTTGGGTTTGGTTTTCAAGTTGGATTTAGCCTCTGCTTTACTAGGAGATTTTGAAAATAGAAGTGATCCTGTCAATTTAATTATAACCCTAGGAAAACGTTTTATTTTTAAAGCAAAAAACCAATTCTCACTTAATATTAATTATTTAAAAAAATATATTTATCAGTACTTAACCTGGGAAGGTTACACAGTTGAAACAGACAAAGAGAAAAAAAAGTATAAAAAGAGATGGGAGGTTCTTAAATACCTGGGAGAAAATTAGTCTGTGATATATTTGCAAATATATCATATAAACTGATGTCGGCCATAAAGATTTAAAGTCGGGATCTATATAATATTCATATATCTACTATTGGGGACTACTGACACTACTACTACTACTACTACTACTACTGCTACTACTACTGTCACTACTACTACTGCTACTACTACCAATGATAATGATAATAATAATAATGAAATATTATTGTTGTAATTATTGTAATTAATAGTAGAGATAATAATAGGTATTATGGATGTAATAATAATTAATAATAATAAAAATAGTAATAGTGATGAAAGGTAGTGGAAATAATAGTAGGAATAATAGTGATAATAATAACAGTAATAATTAATAAAAAGAAATGCCTTTAGGGTTATGTTTTTTGAGATTGTGACATATGGTGAAAGATAATGAGGGGAACTGATGATGGTGAAAATAAATATTAGTTTGAGTATAGGGACTAATACATTTAAAAAATTATAATTTAAAAAAAAAAAAAAAAAAAGGGAAGGAAGAGAGACAAAAGGAACTTCAATTATAAATTGGCCGCAGTCTATCAGTGTTCGGGAGCCTAGCGGTGTATTTATGTTGCACTATCACATTTATATTGTTTTGACTTTGTGTTGGTGTGGGTGGTTGGGGGGAAATGGGTTTTTTTTTTTTTTGTATTTGTTGTGGTGTTGTGGTTGTTTCTTTGTTTTTTGTTTTTATGTTGAATATTGCAATTGTTAAACGTTGATGTTTGTTTTGTTTTTTTTGAATGTTATGTTCTGCTGTCTTTAATAAAAAAAAAAAAAAAAAAAAAAAAAAAAAAAAAAAGACCTTTAGTATCATAGCCATGATTTAACCTTTATTTTTATTGAACCGTATCAAATTGATTTGAATTATATCGTATCGAATAGAAAGTCCGCTGTATCGCGATATGTTTAGTATCGTGACCTGTATATCAAGATATGTATCGTATCGGCAACTTCTTAATGATACCCAGCCCTAAATGAGAATGAGAAACACTATTAACAGATTTAGACACTGGCAACCGAGGTTCAGTTGTGATTGTAATACTGTGTTTAAAACTGGACGAGCGCAACCTTCATACAGTTCCTTAAAATGTTCCTCCAGTAGGTTGGATGTTTTAATCCTGTTTGGACCGGCGTTTACTGCTGTAGTGTTCTCGGGCAAGACACTTCACCCACTTTGCCCAGTATGAAAGTGATGTGATTTTTATTTGTACCGTATTTTCTGGGCTATTAGTCGCTCTGGATTATAAGGTGCACTGTCATTACATGGTCTATTTTCAAACTTTTTTCACAAATAAACCGCACCGGACTTTAAAGGAAACACAAAGTGTGATGGGTCAGTGGGACTTTGTTTGTGGCGTTCACGGTGACTCTGGGCTTTGTTCAGTTGTGGCGTGTAGGGAGGGTGTGTCTGGGACCGCTGGATTGTCGGCGTGTTCGCAGTGACTCAGTTGTTCAGTCGTGTCTAGAAGCGGCACATTGCGCTCGCTTTTTCGGTTCGTTCCTTCGTTCCGTTCCTCGTCGGCGTGGAGTGATGAGTGTGGCTGTGGGTGTTTGTCGCTGTGTGCTCCGTGCGTGTTTGCGTGCGTGCTGCGGCTTTGTAGTTTACTAAAGTCGTGCTGGGACACCGGAGTGGATTCGTGTATAGGGCGCTCTGGATTGTGGGGCGTGCGGTCGTTTTTTGATTGGGTTAGAGGCTTAAGAGCGCGTCTAATCGCCCGGACAATACAGAAAATGACATGACATATTTACAGTGACCAATAGGGATGTAACAATAACTGAAATATCGTGATATCTTATCGCCAAAGTTCTCACAACGATATTGAGGACCATCACAATATATCGAATCACAAGTCTCTTTGCTTAAATTAAGAGTTATGGTGCAGCAATAGATAAAAAAAAAAAAAAAACAGAAGGAACTACATAGACCATGATCCTTTGCTCCATTTCAGTGCAGACTACATGAAGAAATAACAGTTTTAAACACTTTTAAGTCTTTTGATTAAGTCTTGTCAAGGCATTTGAAGAGGAAAAAGTCGCATATTAGCAGTTTTGCCTCCACAAAATATCGTGAAAATATCATACAGAGAGATCTGGATATTGTTACATCCCTAATCGTTGAGCTTCCTCTCCATATCTTGAGCTTTCCCACAATATCGCAATAAATATCGTCCCGTGAGGTTCATACGGTCACGATATCGTACTGTGAGACTTGGATATCGTTACGCCCCTAGTGACCAACGTAGTCTCCTCTTTCTATTTTTCATATTGTGGTACGTTCTCAACTATAAAGCTTGTGGTTTCAAAGTCCCGTCTGTCTGTTCCAGGTTCACGGTCAGCCCGAGCCTCAGGTCACGTGGTACAAAGACGGGACGCCGGTGATCGGGGGAGAGCGCTGCGTCGTCAAGCAGAGCGGGCGAGGCTTGTTTAGCTTGGTTGTCGGCGGAGTCACTGCCGAGGACCTGGGCTGTTACACGTGCCAAGCCACCAATCAGGCGGGGAGTCGGCAGGTCACCGTGGAGATCCTGCTGGACGGTAACTCGTTAATCTTTCATCTTTGCAATTCCTCACATTTATTCTATGATATTCTATTTGTATGTTGACTGGTTGGTCCTTTTAAAAAAAAATTCCTGATTACACTAGTTTCTGATCTGTAGTAAAATGTTGTTTCCTCATCCCAAACTGACCTGGAGTTCTGGTTTCATTTTGTGTTTTCATGTTGTTTGTATAACACACAAACCCTGCGTGTGTGGGCTGAGTTCAGAACAGAGAACACACCTTGTCATGTGGTAATACAGGAAGTAAAACACATCTCCAGGTCTGTTTTTACACCTTTATAACTTGTCTTAAAGCTTTAACTTCTTAGGTTCTTTTTAAAGACAATGCAGTAAAGTGTATTTACCTTGTTGACATGTTTCTAGCAGCTAGCAGCCGAAACATGTCAACAAGGTAAATACACTTTACTGCATTGTCTTTAAAAAGAACCTAAGAAGTTAAAGTATATAAGAAGACATAATGAACATCATTGGCTTGTCTTAAAGCTGACAAGAGTTGAGTTGATGTAATATAGGACCTTTAATCCCAATTCAGTCCTGATGTAGGCTTAGTTTGGTCCTTTGGCCTATATTAGAAGTTGTTCAAGGTAATATAAAAGAGGAAGTGTTTTGCAAACAACAAGCCTGAAGAGGTTTGAGATGTCACCCATGCATGTTTGAGTAATCTAGCGATCTGTCCCAGACCCCATTCTATAGTAAAATGTTGTTTCCTCATCACAAACAGACCTGGAGTTGTGTTTTGTTTCATTTTTTATTAACACGCAAACTCTACGTATTTAGGCTGAATTCTTCACTCAAACAGAAAACACACCTTGTCATGTGGTAATACAGGAAGTGTTCCACTGTGTTTTAGAATCATTTGGATGATTTCAGCCCAATTACCAATCTCTACTGAACTAAAGGTAAAAGGAGCTGTTAACTTGAAAACTGCCACTTCATGACATCACAAGGTAGAACAAAGCATTTTGAGTTTTGGAGATGTAGACAGACTAATAAAGCAGGATTACTGAGACACGTGTGAATGAAACAAAACACAACTCCAGGTCTGTTTTTAGAAGGTAACAACATTATAACTTGTCTTAAAGCTGAAGCTAAAGAGTTAATTTGAGGTAATATAGGACCTTTAATCCCAGTTCAGTCCTGATGTAGGCTTAGTTTGGTCCTATGGCCTTGTTACGCACCGAGTTAAACTATCAGTTATTTTGTTTTGTTTTTTGGAAGTTTTGTTTTTTGCTTAACTCTTTTTTTATGGTTTATTTTGGCGTGGCTGTGCAGAAGCTGTAAATACGGCTGCCTGTCCTGTATTTATAGTCTGTTAGCCTTTTGTTTTGACCTGGTGAGACCGGCTGTCCTGTTTTTACTTGTTCTGTTTGGCCAACTCATCAGGTCCACCGTTTTGTTCATTACTACTTTTTTTTTTTTTTTTTTTTGTGGGCACAGGAGGGTTTTTAAATTTCTTTGAAATGGTTAAAAGAACAAATGAGAAAACAAGATCAAAAATAAAAGAAATGAAACGCTAACTCTTGACCCCTGTGTCCTTTTAAATGTGCTGGCCTTCGAGTCATAACAGGCCTATATTAGAAGTGGTTAAAGGTAATATTAAAGAGGAGGTATTTTGCAAACAACAAGCCTGAAGAAGTTTTAAATGTCATCCATACATGTTTGAGTAATCTAGTGATCTCTCCCAGGCCCTATTCGAATGCTTATTGTTATCAGTAGGGTTCCCACAGTCATGGAAGTCCTGGAAAAGTTATGGAAATTGAAAATGCCATTTTCTAGGCCTGGAAAAGTCATTGAATTTTGTAAATTCAATGAAAGTTTGGGAAAAGTCATGGAATTTTAGTATCTCTTTCATGCAACTACAGTGTTGTGTTAAGGTCTTATTAGGATATTATGATTATTTCCAAACGTCTGCGCCTTTTGTTTAACAGAATTTTGAATGTTAAAAAATTATAATACCAAAACATAAGGTGAGTGGAAAAGGATTAATGTTTCATATTTAGTGGCGAATACGTTTCTCTCAGTTCTTCTTCAGCAGCTTGGATGAGCTGAGAAATGTAGTCGACCAAATAAACTTTGTCCAGTTGACAAATTGAAATTCTCCTTTGCCATGGTTTCTACCTGGACGACTGAGGGACTTTTCACATTTCATATTTAGCCCTAAAAGTATCTTCAATCCAAACATGTAGGTGCTATAAAGTCATGTCTTGAAAAAAACATGTAAGTTAAAAAAAAAATGTGTCAGTTTGTTTCTGATTTGTTTGTTTTCTCTTGCTGTATTTATGAAGATGAACTGGTGTCAAGATGACGCTCTGATAAAGGAATAAAGGGTAAAGGCATAAAAAGCTTAAGCTTCAGCCTGCACCTTTTCTGTCTGTGTATGTTAAATATGACTAAATATGACTGTGAATTAATGTCAAGATATACCTGTGACCGAAATAAAATAAATAATCAATCAAATAATCAAATCAGTGAAAAAGACTGAGCAATTTAAACCTGCATATGAACGCTCCGAAAGAAATCCGATTCCTCCCATCAGATGTAACTGTTTACCTGACATTCCAATAACCTGATAACTCCAGAAATCAGATAATGATCGGACTTTGAAGTGCATCTAAACATAGCCGGCGTTGTCATGTGGAATTTGCCTCTCCGATTTCTTTTTCCACTCCAGTCTCCCTGTATAACCTTTTGGAAAATCTCAGTGTGTACATAGCCTTTAACTTTTATTTATAGTGTTGTTTTTCCCCAATTGGTTGTAACACAGCTGCGTTTGAGCTCCGCGCTTTGTCATCGCAGTGAAGGTGCATGTGATGTGAGTCTGTTCAGTCGTAAATAAACCAATAAGATCCTTGTTCTTCTAAATACAACCAGATTTTTCCTTTTCATGTAATGTGGAAGTTATTAGAGGTAACTGGTGTCTCACTGGTGGTTAAACTGTGGTATAAATAAGATGCACTTTAAAGGCGCAATGTGTAACTTTTCAACTAGAGGGTCCGCCACCTGCTTGTCTTCAGTATGGTTAAAACCTGGTTTAGACCTGGTTAAATCCTGGTTTAGACCTGGTTAAATCTTGGTTTTAGTCCTGGTTTAGACCTGGTTTTAGTCCTGGTTTAGACCTGGTTTTAGTCCTGGTTTAGATTTGGTTTTAGTCCTGATTTTAGTTCTGGTTTTAGTCCTGATTTAGACCTTGTTTGGACCTTGTTTAGACCTTGTTTAGACCAGGTTTTACTCCTGGTTTTAGACCTGGTTTAGACCTGGTTTTAGTTCTGGTTTTTTACTCCTGGATTTAGACCTGGGTTAGACCTGGTTTTAGTCCTGGTTTTAGCCCTGATTTTAGTCCTTGTTTAGACCTGGTTTTAGTCCTGGTTTTAGTTCTGGTTTTAGTCCTGGTTTTAGTCCTAGTTTTAGTCCTGGTTTAAACCTGGTTTTAGTCCTGGTTTAGATTTGGTTTTAGTCCTGATTTAGACCTTGTTTGGACCTTGTTTAGACCTGGTTTAGACCTTGTTTAGACCTTATTTAGACCAGGTTTTAGTCCTGGTTTAGACCTGGTTTAAACCTGGATTTAATCCTGGTTTTAGTCCTGGTTTAGACCTTATTTAGACCTGGTTTTAGTCCTGTTTTAGTCCTGGTTTTAACCCTGATTTTAGTCCTGGTTTAGACCTGGTTTTAGTCCTGGTTTTAGTTCTGGTTTAGACCTTGTTTAGTCCTGGTTTTAGTAGTGGAGAGGCAACTTTATTCAAAGAGAGAATTATTCTGTTATTGTTGTAATGACTATATAGATCATTTAATGTCACACCATGGAACATTCCAGGCAAAGCAATAACATCTCCATAGAGACAAGCAGGTAAAGGACCCTCCACTAGAAAAGTTGCACAACTCACCTTTAAGTACTTTTTTAAAAAAATTTTTTTATTTAAGCAGAACTAAGTAACATTTTTACCTTAATAAACATGTTTGTAAGTCCCTGTGATGATTAAATATGTATTTTCAGGGTGTTTAAAGCGCTCCTCGTCTCCCCCTGCTGGCTCTGTGAGGAAAAACTGACTTGCAGTGTGGCTGACCCCGACCTGAGGAGAGCTCTCTTGGGGAATCCTGGCTCTTTGTTAGATACTCATTATATGTTTGTTATCTGATGCCTTATTGTAATAAATGAGAAATGAGAAGAAAAGGGGGAAAAGTGCTTTGAAGTCTTTTCTCTGACAGTGTATTTTCATAAGGGAACTGCAGGGGGAGCTCTATCACTCAAAGTTACTTAGTTCTGCTTTAAGTAGTTATACGTTTTATACAATTCATCCTTTTTAAAAATCTATTCTTCCTCTTCCTCAGAAAACTCCAACAAGAAGTATGGCCTCCCTTCTTCCTTTAAAACTGGGTAAGTTCCACAACATATATTTCCAAATCTCAAAAGTCTTGTTCAAGCTAAAACTGTAAAATTAGATGTATGTAAAATATTGTGTAAAATATAGTTAAATAAATGTTTTCAATATGCACTCTTATGGATTCACAGTATTACGTCTAAGTGGTTTGTTCAATATTTGTTCACAAATAATTAACTCTTTTAGTTTATTGTTGTATTTTTCAAGCGATTTAACAGCAGCAAAACAATGCATTTATAAAGTGGTATTTTACAATTCAGTGTATCGTATTGTAAAACTCATAACAGTATAATAATGCAGTATAGTTAAACTTGTTAATCATTTCAGTTTATATAAATGAATATATAAATAATGCAATGGAATTAAATGGGCTACAACAGATTATTTACCATCTTAAAAACTTAAAAAACAGAACTAGTTCATTTTAAACAGTTTGCATTGTTCCAAAGTTATTTCTCACTTCCTAACACCTTCCTAGTATCCAAAGTATTCACCGTAATATGTTTATGAACTCTTTTCACAGCCTTTGCACTCTTGGTAATGCTAACAACGCACATCCTGATTTTTGGACAGTTTAACACTTTTTATATGTACCGTATTTTTCAGACTATAAGGTGCACTTAAAATTCTTAAATTTTCTCATAAATTGACAGTTCATCTTATAATCCTTTATGTATAAATTCTGGTTGTTTTTACTGACCTTGAATTGATTTTATGTGGTACACGGCGCTCAAAAATCTGTCAAAATGTTTTAGTACGACTTTGGTAAGTTACGAAGCTGCACCGCTTGATTGTCAGATCATTACGGCTACTGTAGTCAGGAGCCTCGCGAAGGTTGACCGACACTGACCGTATGATCGCATGAGAAGAGATCTGGTTTTAAGAGCTTATAGTTTGTGTAAATGAGCCATGTGGTTTTAAGTTTTGCTTCTGTAAAATGTAAACAAATGTACGCAAAGCTGCATTGAAACCATTATTACTCAATGTATACTTGAGTCATGCTCATAGGAAATAAAAAAAAAACGAATTTAAATGATCCACTCACATTCACATTCATAATACATATTCACCAAGACAGGGAGACAACGCCGGGCGAATTACACCACGATCTGCCGATGGATCGTGGACACCTGGGCTAAGAATCAGTCTCAAGTGTCGTCCGTTAGTTTCACTTAATGCGCCTTATAATCCGGTTCAATTTATGCATGAAAATGATGAGAGAATTCCACATTATTGATATTGCGCCTTATAGTCCGAAAAATACGGTACTGCTTTTAATTGTAGTTCTGGTTTAGACCTTGTTTAGACCTGGTTTTAGTCCTGGTTTAGACCTTGTTTAGACCTTGTTTAGACCTTGTTTAGACCTTGTTTAGACCTTGTTTAGACCTTGTTTAGACCTGGTTTAGACCTGGTTTAGACCTGGTTTTAGTCCTGGTTTTAGTCCTGGTTTAGACCTTGTTTAGACATTGTGTAGACCTGGTTTAGACCTGGTTTTAGTCCTGGTTTAGTCCTGGTTTTAGTTCTAGTTCTGCATTCAAGTTTTATTCTTTGTACAGGATCTTTGAGTGTTTAAAAAGCTCTATATAAATTAAGTCTCTTATTTTTTATTGTTATAGTTGCAGACACCACACAGGAGTCTCTCATTTCTACCATAAGAGCTTAGAGTTATACAATATACTGTGTCTGCACTGAGCCAAGACAAACTTTGCTCAAATACATGCACAAAAAAAATCTAGTACAGGCATTTTGACAGGTGCCTCTCCACCTGCCAGGTCCTTAACCTCGCTCCGGCAGATGAGCGCGGCAGTAAATCGGTCTCTCCCTTCTCTAAGTGAATTTCCAGTTCATTATTATACGGCCTCTCCGGTCCGAGCCGCTGCTACTGTTCACCGCTAATGGTTTTCACATATTCACAGGAGTGTCCGTCCTGCAGGCTCATCATAAACATGTCCTCTCACGGCTCACTGGGCTGCGGGGAGGATGATAGTGAAAGCATGTGTCTCTGGAGATGTCAACAGTTTAACAGTTGCTGTGGTTGGGGCAGGAAAGAGGTCACAGAAAAGCTGGTTAATCATTGGTCCAAGGTTGTAGTTTCGAGTTCCGAGTTTGTGCTGTGTGGAGTTTGCGTGTTCTCCCCCGTGTCTGTGTAAATTCCTCTAACTCAAAACCATGCAGTTATAGCTCACTTTCCTATTACATAGTCATTACTGGATTTACATTAGGGACAATATGGTGATAAAAATTGAATTGTGATCTCATTCTTGGTTAATAAATTGTCTGTTTTGAGTGAGTGACAGGTGGATTTAACTGACTACAATCAATTGTGAACTTTGACAAGAATTGTCATTGTAATATAAAGACACTTATATAAAGACAATATAAAGACAAGTTTATGTGAATCATGATCTGTTTTTAGGAAAATGGTAATATTCATTTTGCTGGCATGCATTTCCCATCTCTAATTTACTCATTTAGCTTTGAGAAAGGTATATAACGTAACGTACATACCAAGTTGCTATCTTTACAACTGCTCTAATCAGTTGAAGTTCCAGAGATTATGAGCAAATGAGCGTCAAACAGTAAGAAAAACACCTTATACTTTTAAAGCACCTCATTTATTGCCTCAACACTAATCGAAGCAACTGTGCCTCTCAGATTTCCACTTACCACTTACGTGCACATACATTCATAATAGGCAAGATGGGTGTTTGGGAATTGATTCTTCAGCAGGCATTTTAAGTTATGCTGTTTCTAAATTATATATATATATATATATATATATAGCAGGAGGTGTTTTGGAATTGGTGTAAACTGGTGTTTATAATTTATTATTAGTAGGGGTATAATGGTACATGTATTTGTGCAGAACTGTTTCGATACAGGACGCTGGGTTCTGTGCAGGGCTGTGCTGAGTGAATTTCCACAATTTATGTGTGTTTACATTCCACCACCACATGTGCAGCTACACAGAAGACTTGCCTCTGTAATATTCATGAGGGAACTCATGTGTGGTTGGGGCAGTGTTTCCCGCAGTGCTTTATAGTTAGGGCGGCCACCTTGACAACAATTGCCCCCCGCTTTGACTATATCCCTCCGAACCACGTGAATCCTCACAAAACTACTGTCATTGTGCCACAGTCCTCACTTTCTCACTTTCACCTTTCGCCCGCATGGCCACAAATATGAAGATTGAGTAAAACTTCATCCTGGAACTGTTAGTGGTGCACTTTACTTTTTGAAAGGTTTTATTTTTTTAATAATATTTCATACATTTGATGCTTATTTGAGAATATTTTATTTAACTTATTACTATTACCAAGCAGCACAAATTGTTGGTTTAACACATAAATAAACAACAAGCAAATGGTTTTGTATTTTGTTCCCATACTGTACTGAAAATGAACCGAAATGTGACCTCAAAACAGAAGTATGTTCCGAACAGTTTTTTTTTTTCCCCCTCTTTCTTATTATAATATATTGTGATGTGTACCAGGAATTTCCCATGTGCATCAATAAAGTTTGTCTGAGTCTGATTCTATTTCCACCCTTGTATGTAATATCTGTTTAGTTCTTGTTTTGACAAATCTGATTTATGAGGCGTAATGTCCTGAACAGTGTCACAGATGTGCAAATGAGCAGAAGATTCCACACACACAGCTAAATGAGTCTCCTGGTTCTGTGTTTGCAGGTGTCGCTCGGGGGTCTCGGCGGTGCAGAGCGGAGCCGGTATTTGGGGAGAGAGCCCACCGCGCTTCATCACCAAACCCGGTCGGATCTGTGCCAAAGCGGGACAAACCGTCAAGTTTTCAGCCAAAATCACAGGACGGCCCCAGCCACAGGTCTCATGGCAACGGGTGAGACGAGTTTATGAGCTCTTGTGTTTGTTTGTTTTTCACTTGGGTTGCTCAGTTAATCAAATTAATCAAATTTATAATCATGGTTTCAATTATTGTAACTTTTTGTTCAGAATATGTGCACTCCTGTGTCCCTTTTCTAATCTACAAGCTTTGAAAGAGCCAATATTTCACTATTCTCTTAATGTATAATGTTTAAAATGTGCCTGGAGTTGTGAGTTTCATTCACATGTTTAACACACAAACCCTGCATATTTAGGCTTCTTTATAGTTCTTCTTGCACCTTGTGATGTCATGTGGTAATACAGGAAGTACTCCACTGTGTTTTTAAACTCCATGCCCCTTCACTAGAATCAGATGGCTAATTTCAGCCCTGGAATTGCCAAGATATAGTGGACAAAGATAGCTGTAAACTTGAAAACTACTGCTTCATGACATCACAAGGTGGTGACATCACATTCGGACAATGTGTGCTCTCAGTTAGAGGCACTACATTTTGGAACCGTCTCTTACTATCAATAAGAGAGACTCCAACACTGGCCACTTTCAAATCCCACTCGAAACAGCTGCTAAAGGAAAACCAGACTTGTGGACATTTTTATTTCAGATCTGTCACTTGTTTTTGTTGTTTTTTCTTTGTTACCTCTGCCAAGGAGGTTATGTTTTTGCCGGCGTTTGTCTGTTTGTTTGTTTGTTTGTTTGTTTGTTTGTTTGTTTGTTTGTTTGTCTGTTAGCAACATAAATCAAAAAGTTATGGACCGATTTTGATGAAATTTTCAGGATTTGTTGGAAATGTGAAAAGGAAGGAACTTGTAACGTCAAACAAGCGAGGGTGAGTAAGGAGGTGTGAGGTAGATTTGTTTTGGAAAATGTCTCCCCCCGTGGGACTAGACACGGGTGAAGAGGAGGAGTTGGAGAGGCTGAAGAGGGTGATGGTTCTGCTGCCAGTGTTGGGAAGGTGACTTTTAAAATGTATTCCCTTACAGATTACAGATTACATACCCCAAAATGTAGTTTGTAACGTAATCCATTAAATTACTTATAGTGAGTAACGTAATCTGAATACTTTGGATTATTTGATTTGCTGTAAAGTAGCAAAGACGAGGAAATCTTCACATAAGAAGTTTTGTCTGCTAAAAGACAATAAAAAGCACAGACTTTCCTTAACCAGATTAAAAATATTATTGATAGAAGAGGAGGAAACACGGTCCGCACGGCATGGTTTAGTCCTGTTAAATCCTGTTTTAGTCCTGGTTTATTCCTGGTTTAGTCCTGATTTAGACCTGGTTTTAGTCCTGGTTTAGTCCTTGTTACTTCCGCCAAGGAGGTTATGTTTTTGCCGGCGTTTGTCTGTTTGTTTGTTTGTTTGTTTGTTTGTTTGTCTGTTAGCAACATAACTCAAAAAGTTATGGACCGATTTTGATGAAATTTTCAGGATTTGAAAAGGAAGAACTGATTTCATTTTGGGGGTGATCCGGAAGAAATCCTGGATTCTGGATCTCTTTGAAATTTTAGTTAACATTGTGGTAAATGGGGCCAAAAATTTAGTTTCTCAATATCTCGGTTAATTATTGACCAAACCCCATGAAATTTGACTCAGGGATGGACAATGGGATCCTCTTTCATATTCCAAAGGCTGATCCGGATCTGATCCAGAAGACTGATTTTATCGCAATTTATATAAAAAATGGGGGTAGTCCTTGGCGGAGGTCTGCGCTCTCTGAGTGCTTTTCTAGTTAAATTTGTGGTGTTACCTGCCTGGGGACGACAGATGGACATGAGCATTTTTGCTATAATCTGGCATATTTACACTGCAGTGCCGTAGATGTTCATTAATATGCACTGTCCCTATAAAATAAATAAATAAAAATAAAAGAACAGAGCATTTTGAGCTTTGGAGATGTAGACAGACAACAATAAACAACAATAAACAATTGGTTGATGTCGTTTTGGGGGTGCAGTATTTGAGACCTCCTTTATCATGTGAATAAATATCGTGAAAAATATTGAGCTCAAAATTGACCTTTGACTCTTTATTTGTCAGTTCCTGTTCTCTGCCTTAGTATCATGAGCCAAAAATAAGGAGTCGTGCAAAAGCAAAAGGCAGTAACAGTGTATGTTTTGTTTGTGATTTAGTTCATAAATATGTTTTATTTTAAAATCCAACCTCTCGCCTCATTCTTGTTGTTGTGGCCTTGGCATAGGCTCTTAACACATTAAATAAATAATGATACTTAAATGATCTTTAATGTGACAGTATTTTGTGTATTTATTCATACTGTACACACTATTCTGCAAAGTCACTTGTGTCAGACTGTTTAACTGTGTAAGTGTCGCCGCACGATCCTGATCAACACTAAACAGGAAATCCAAAGCTCTTCTGTATAATTTCAAACAAACACCATGATGACTCGACTTTGGTGAAGTGTTTTCTTATAATGGATGGAAGTCTGGAGAAAATCAAGCAAATAATGATCATGTTAGTTTCTGCCTTTTGCCTTTTGCACGACTCCTTTTTTTTGGCTCATGATAAAAAGGCCGAGTACAGGAACTGACAAATAAGGTAAATTTTGAGCTCAATATTTTTTACATACCGACATTTCTTCATAGCAACTATTTGTCAAATTTTGGAAGCCCTACCTGTTATACTTTTGTCTGGACAACACAAACTATGAAGTCATTTTTCTCTGGAGAGTGAAGATCTTTTACCTTTGTATGGCAGTACTCAAACGTGTGAATGAAACAAAACGAAAGAAGTATGTTTTTGAGGATTATAAAATAGATTAAAGCTCACAAGACTCAATTTTGGGTAATAAGGGTCACAAAATTATAATTAAATATATTAGGTCTATACTTTCTCTTCAGGTTAATTTTCACTGATCTGTGTTTTTGTCAGGATGAGGCGGCGCTTGAGGCGGGTGGGCGGGTCTCCATGTTCGAGCGCTCTGGTCTTCACTTCCTGGAGATAAAGGAAGTGTGTGCGGAGGACGGCGGGTGCTACACCTGCGTGGTCAGTAACAGCGCCGGGGCGACCACGGCAACGGCTCCGCTCAGCGTCCAGGGTGATCCACCAATCACACGCTTCATTTTCAGATGTGATAATCGTTGGAATTGTCGGGTAACTTTCATTGTTTTGGTTTTTTTTACAGCTTCTTTAAGTGAATCAACAAAGTAAGTCACTTATTTTTTTTCTGGTATTGTTATTTTATTTATTATTTATTATTTATATTTGGCATAACAAAACACTTGCACAGTAATTGGGCAGGATTTGGAAATGATTGTCAGCTATATTCACAATAAGATTCTTGGACATAGTTTGGACTGGTGACCTTCCAGTTGGTGGGAAAACACTTGAAGCTTGTATGTAGAATTTATTTTGTCAATGAAAGTTCAAACTAGCATTATAGAGGCGCAGCAGCCTTGTAACCCATCAGCTGTGGACGTGGTGGGGCCAAACTCCCTACGTTTCTAGCGTAACTGACTTTCGGGCGCACTGGGATTACGCGATTTATGTTTCTTCTCGCGCTTTCCACATACACAAGACGCCGTTTACTCAATTAACACACTTAGCACAAAGTTTGTTGCAATGACAGACAAGAATCCATGACCGGTTCGCTGCAAAAGAATGTCAGTTTTTGAGATCGTTGAAAGAAGAAGAGAAGGTGAAAAGGAGCGAAGCAAAACTAAGGTGATTTTTGGAGATCCTTTCCAGTGACGACGCGACTGAAGCAGACGAAGGGTTTAAAGCAGAGGTGTGGACTTGCACGTCGTGACTTGGACTTGAGTCAGACTTGAGTCACTATTTTTAGGACTTGAGACTTGACTTGATAAAATGGACTAAGACTTGGGACTCGACTTGGACTTGAAGGTCATTTACTTGGGACTTGACTCGGACTTGAGCCCTGTGACTTGAGGAGACTCCTAAAAATATATGTTTTTAGAAAATACTTTTCTCTTTACAGTTAAATAAAGGTGCAGATAAATGATTACAGGTAAATGCGGTGCTGAATTTTACAGGAACAAACTGGAACATGTCGCTCCCACTTCTGTTTGTTACTTTGGGTGTAACTGAAGTACTGTGATACTCAAATGTACTACAGTAATATACAGTATAATACAGTAAAACAGAGGGAACTACACATAACATGATCCTTCCATTTCAGGGCAGACAATAAATAAATAAAATAACTGTTATTAAGCATTTTTAAATCTTAATTCTTTCTATTCTGACCATAATAATTCACACTGTTGTCAAGACATTCAAAAAGGAAAAATTAGTATTTCTACAACTCTTATATAAATACTCATATACCATAACTATTTAAGTATAATTTAGCTTAAAAGTCATATAAATTGCAAAAATCTAGGTTATATTTGGTACTTTTTTTGGTTTAAAGACTTGTAATTGGAGCTCAAAGCAGAGGACTTGGACTTGACTTGGACTTATGAGCCAGTGACTTGAGACTCGACTTGGACTTGCCTGTCTTTGACTTGGGACTTGACTCGGACTTGAGGCCAAAGACTTGAGACTTACTTGAGACTTGCAAAACCACAACTTGATCCCACCTCGCGTTGTTCATTAAATTACTCCTGGATTGATCAATTTAACAGCAAGTCATTCAGCAATTCTGAACTCTAAAAAAGCATGATTTCTAGCGTAAGAAGGAAGTGAGAAGAGGCGTTTTTACTTTGGGAGCTGTGGAGGAGGGAGCAACATTTGATATATTTTTTCTCTTTCCTTGGAAAATTAACCTTTAACCCACTTTGCACTGTACCCCAATGTTTAAGATTGAATAATATTAATAACATAATAATATTGAACTTGTGTTTCCAAACAAATTAACACATTTATACTTTGTAAGACCTTTAAATTTTGTCATATGAGTACATACAACAAAATGAAAAAAATAAAATGATTAAATTAAAATGAGAAATGATTAAATCTCTTTATAATTAGAAGTTACTATGAAGTACTGAAGAAGCAAATTCACAAATGTGGAATCTGATCATTTCTATTATTTACTAGACCCAAGAACTTCACTGTATTACAACAAAAATCTGCATTTGAGTATTAATTTAATTTAATTTGAGTATTAATTTTAGGATTTTAGGATTAATTTTATATTATTATTAGTCGTGATGTCTTCTGAAACCAGGAATATTTGTCGTTTTCTTGTAGAACTGAGCCCCAGTCCACTGTGAAAGACAACAGCAGCATGAAAACCTCCAAGTCACACGCAGAAGAACCCACAGACACTAAAGAAGAGCCTCCGCAGAGCAGCTCCAGAACCAGACCTGCTGTACAGCTCCCCCCTGTGGCCCCCAGGAAAACTGCAGCTCCCATAAAAGTAAGACCAGAGAGGTGGAGTAACGCAAAATCTGCTTTTTAAAGAATTGTGATGTTTATTTTCAATGCTCAGGTCCAGTCCGCAGTGAATCCTCCTTCAACACCACCTCAAGTAGCAATCAGTGGTTCAGACAATAACAGGTACAGGGCCATGCTTTTCCATTAATGTTTTAGTTAACTTTAATTTTATTCTCAATTTTATAACCTGTTTGGCAAAGAAGAATGTTTCTTATAGAGGTTTAAATGAAAATAGAAGAGCACGACTACAGTATTACTTTTATTAATTTGAGATTGCCAAATTGAATTAGTCAAACTGCAGATTTGGTTGTAGATTTTTGTAGCTTGTCACATTTGCAAATAATATTATTGATCTTTTTTTATAAAATTATATTAAGAAAAGTTCTGTAAACGATTTCTATAAAGGATTTCTCACTCTAGCCCACCAGTTTAGTTTTTGGCCAGCAGATGGTGCCAGTCCCTTGCTTGACTTTTAAGTACCTGTGCCAACATTGTAAAGAGAAATTAGTTTTTAATGTTTTAGCTGGTAAAATAAAAGTTATTTAAAAAGTTATATCAGTGTAGGATTAAGTTTGTTTTTTTTCACTGGAGTTGTTAAATATGATCTGATAATATTTGTATTTGTGCCTCAGAAGTGTTCGAAAGACGCTCTCGGGGTCTGACCTGCGTTTTGAGGCAGTTCCTCTGGACCAGGAGGCCACAGAGGGAGCACAGGTCACCTTCACCTGCCAAGGTAACTCTGAAATAGATGATTATTGTTTTGATGATTGTCAGCATTGCCAGTGTAAGCTACAAATAGGGGTGTCAAATTATCGCGTTAATTGCGATTAATTAATTACAGTCATATTTAGCGCGTTATGTTTTTTAATCGCGTTAATCTCATTTTTAATCTCTAACTTTACTGTTTCTGTACGCGAGTTGCCTTATTATAAAATCTGTTTTTATGTGTTGTAGGGACAATAACACATCGCTCCCGCAAACAATTGTGATTTTCATTCTCGTTCTCGCCGCATCTGTGATAAAGCTGCACACGTCTGAAAACATCACGACACAAACACAGAACAGACTCACCTTCACCTTCAACACTCTGTCACAGAAACAACACTCATATTCCACTGAGTCGTGTCCTTCAGTCCCACAGAAGCTGAACCGCATCAGCGACACAAGAGCATTTTTTTTTTTCTCGCTTAGTTTATGCAAATTAGCCATGCGGTTTTTTAAGTTTCGTTTCTGTGAGACTTGCGCAAATCAGCATTAAACACATTATAATTTCAAACGAGCTGATGTGGCTCTAGAGTGTTCATAGTTTATATGTAATAATAATAATGTAATAATGAATTTAAATGAAAATACCTCAAGTTGAAGGCTTTTCTCAGCAATTTTTAGCTGAGATTAAAAAGAGATTAATTAGATTAATTAATTACAGATCATAATTAATTAATCTCTCAATTTTTTTAATCGCCTGACAGCACTAGTTACAAATGAAATCATAAAGTGAACATTTTATAGCATTTTATGTGATTTAATCAATTTATCTTAAATGGACTCGCTCCACCTCCTCTGGGTGAGTTCATTAAGACCAAGTCCAGTTCTAGTGGTCGGGGAACAAGAGCTTCTATTAGAGGACGACTGTGCAATATCTTATAGACGCACAACTTTCATTCAGCAGGTGTTATCAGTCAAGGGAACAGAAATCTGGAACAACATTCCAGCTGCAATAAGAGACTCCACCACATTCAGTTCATTTAAAACTAATCTGAAACGATGGCTTAAGAGAAACCAGATCTGTAACCACTAATTTTATGTTCCTATGTAAATGTCAATGTTGTATGTCGTGATTGTGTCTTATTGTGCCGTTTCTACCATGTTTGTCTATTGTGTGACTGTCTTATGTTCTTATGTCTTATGTCTCTGTCTCTCTGACCTGCCAAGCACGATAAAAGTCGCCTTCGGGCTAATTCTGGCCTATTTACAAGTATATGTTCATGAATATGCATTGTCCCTTTTAAATAAATAAAACAAAAAAATAAATAAAAATAAAAAGATAAGGGTCTAGCCTTATTGACATTATAATGTCTCATAATACTAACATTGAATGGATCTTTTTCTCCTATTTACTTGGAAACTACACAGACCATGTTGCTTTTTGTACCAGTGGGGGCCAAGATGGATTCTCATAAGTTTGTGATCTCACAAATATTGCAAGAATCCATCTTGTTTTGGAAGGTTAACACTAGGGATGTAACAATAACCGAAGTATTGTGATATCGTATTGTCACAATATATCAAATTATCAGTTCCTTTGCTTAAATGCATGGTTTTATAGCAGCAACAGCTTATGAACTACACATCCCATGATTCATTTCAGTGCAGACAACATGAAGAAATATGTTTTTTACTTGAATTCTTGGGATTATGATGGAAATAATTCACACCAAAATCTTGTCAAGGTATTTTAAAAGTAAAAAAGTGTCCTAACTAGAATTATATTAGCCTCTCCAAAATATCGCAATAAATATCGTTCCGTGAGACGCATATCATGATAATATTGTACCTAGAGATTTGGATATCTTTACATTACTAGTTAACACTGCAGTGCATGAATGAATGGGCTATAGGACCACAAAAGTTTGGTTTATACACTTATAAGTACAATTAAAATACCATTACCTCAATAAAAACAGTAAAAATAACTTGTGTTCTCAGTGTCCTCAGCTACATTTACCACGGTGACCTGGCTGAAGGACGGCGCCCCCTTTGGGTTGGGTGTTGGCGTGGAGCAGAGACAGGACGGCCCCAGACTCACCCTCACCATCGACCGGGTCAGATCCAAGCACCGGGGGACCTACAGGTGTCAGCTGACCACAGGGGGAGGAGCCACCGTTGCCTCAGCAGCATGGACCCTCCAAGTGAACAGTAAGTGCGCCGTGTCTGATGGGTTTTGTTTCGCGTTTTAAAATTTTGAGAGGTTAGACTACACTTTAATTAAGACGTAGTGACATGGTTCTTATAAACATTTTCATAGTCACCAGCAGATGGCAGCAGAGTTACAAAGTGTGCAGTGGGTCTGGATTGCAGGAGGGTTACGCCAGATAATCATGTGAGAGAAAGTGAATGCTTTTGTGGTCGATTAATTTCTTCAGACGTGATTGATTGTTTGGCACAGGTTGTGACTGACTATATTTACGGTATAGATTTTCTTGCATCCACTTAGTAGCATTTTCTAACCTGAAAATATTGAAAACATCTTAAAGACCCTTATATTGCCATTCTCTACTGACTAGGGATTTAACAAAATATCGTGATATCGTATCGTCAAAGTTCTCACAATAATATCGTGGACCATCACAATATATCGAATTACAAGTTTCTTTGCTTAAATGAAGAGTTCTGGTGCAACAATAGCTCAAAAAAAGACAGAAGGAACTACATAGACCATGATCCTTTGCTCCATTTCAGTGCAGACTACAAGAAGAAATAACAGTTTTAAGCACTTTTAAGTTTTAGTTCTTTGGATTAAGTCTTGTCAAGGACTTTTAGGAGGAAAAAGTCGCATATTCACAGTTTTGTAGCCTCCACAAAATATTGCAATAAATATCATACCCTGAGATGTATATCGTGAAAGTATCGTACCCTAATTGTGAGCCTCCGCACCATATCGTGAACTTTCCCATGATATCACAAAAAATATCGTACCGTGAGTTTCATACTGCAAAGGTATCGTATCGTGAGACTTGGATATCGTTACACCCCTACTACTGAGCAAAATGTAAAAGGAGCTGTTTACTTAAAAACTACAGCTTTATGACATGACAAGGTGGAGCAGAGCATTTTGAGCTCTGGAGATGTAGAATGACTAAAAATAAAGGTTTACTCAAACATGTGTGAATGAAACAAAACACAACTCCAGGTCTGTTTTTGAGGAGGTGACAACAAGTCAATTTTATATAATATAGAACATTTTAAGGCAGGATTTGTCTGTCTCCCCAGAGGTAAAGTAAACGTGCTCAGATTTACAGTATGTTCAATATCGCATTTACTGGTAACAAATGTGATACTGATTTATTCTTAATTTTGTATTTTTGACATGTGTCTTTAATTTGGGTTGCCAGTTTCAAAGCTGAAATCCAGTTGTTTTAAAGTTAGAAGGATTCTCTGATCTGAATGCTCACTAAACCTCCTCCAGCTCCTGGAGCCAATCTTGAGTCAGTGCTAGTGCAGCCTCTGCAGCTCAGGGAGAGAATTCTGGAGGCTCTGAGCTTTCACATGAGGCACTTACTCATGTATACTGAGAATGAGAAACACATGTGTCCTATATTTGCAGATTAAGGAAATGGCAACACAGGTTCAGTTGTACAATACATTTTTGCTCATATTTTAGTTTTTTTTTTTCCAATTTTATGTAAATTTATACATAACAAAAACAAATAGACTTAATATAGACTTAGATAAATATAGATTTTAAAGTTCTTTCATTGGTTTATAAAGCTCTTAATGATCCTATCCTATTTATTTATCTGATCTGCTTTAACCATATGAGCCTCTCAGACTCTCAGGTCCTCAGGTCTCGTCTTTTAACTGTCCCAAGAGTCCAAACTAAAACTCAAGTTGAGGCCTCAATCAGCTTTTACGGCCCCCGTTTGTGGAACAGTCAGAACAGAGTGTTCATTTTTTTAAAAAGCAAACTCAAAACGTATCTTTTCAATTTAGCTTTTAATTGAAACTTATACTTGTTTTAAATTATTATTATTATTATTATTATTATTATTATTATTATTATTTATTATTATTATTTATTATTATTATTTATTATTTTATTTATTTTATTATATATTTTTTATTTTTTTTAATTAAATTATGATTACTATTTTACTTAGTCTCCATCTGATTTTAGCTCTCCAGTTTTATTTATACTATAACATTTAGGAGCTTTATATTTTATGTTTCTGTTTAAATTGTTGTATATATGGATGAAAAAATGGGGTGGGGGGTTGCTGTTATTTTTAATAATTGTCATTTTTCTGTTGCTCTTTTCATATGTATGAAAAGTGCTAACAAAGTAAGTAACAAATAACTTTTGATTGACAAAAAAAAACCAAACTCAAACACTCCCATACCACACTCAAAATACACAAAAAAAACTACACACACACACACACACACACACACACACAAACTGTCCAATCCAAAAGTCCAATCTTGTCAAATTATTCAAAAAGGGTGTTCCTATCTAATAATAATAATAATGCATAATCATACATGACACTATAGCACTTTTCTTGACACTCCAAGACGCTTCACACAGTTCAAGACACGTCTGTTCAAATTTACTGCAGTACCTTTTTAAACCTGTCGAGAGCTCGGACTATATACAGCTCCTTTAAGTTCTCACGTTAACATTAAACCTAAATGATCCCGTATTTGATTGGCGTCGGGCCGTCATTAAACCGAGCAGCTCTTTGGCCGCAGAGAGGAGCAGTGAGGAATCAGCACAACCGAAATAGCAGCAGTAAAAAGCAGAGAGGGGCTCACAGTGTTAAACAAATACAAGCCCTGAACCATATAAAGACAAAACACGCCGCTCCGCACGCCACACACACACACAGAGACGCACACACACACACACACACACACACACACACAGAAGGGATCCCTCTGCAATGGCCATGTTGGGTCGAGAAATAGCAAACCCGCTTTTAGACTTGCAAAAGCAATTAGGAAAAATCATTTGAATAAAGAGTTTTGATGTGAGTATCTTGTACTCATTTATATTTATACATGCTTCTGGTTGAGTGTTACACAGGGTGGGGTTTTATTCTGTCTAAAACTTGATAACCCTGTAGTATTTTAACAGGATTTTATCTTTGTAATAGTTTAGAAGTTCGTATTTTCACCTGAATGTGTTGTTCTGAATTACTAAATCACAAATCTGATGGTATTGCTGTAAAAAGTGAAAATGTAGATAAAATTGCACACAAAATCTGCTCAAAATTTTAGAAAGTATTTTATCTAAAAAAACAAAAAAAAAAAAAAACTTGTCTCTTATATCATGCATTAGAGGTGTAGACAATATGTTGATATTTCAATATTTTTGCACATCTACAAAGCTCAAAATGCTCTGCTCCACCTTGTGATGTCATGTAGGGAAGTTTTCAAGTTAACAACTACCTTTTACCTTTAGACCAGGAAACTCCAACCTGTAGCTCTCCACCTCCTTCCGTGTAGCTCGCCAAGAAATTTCAGAATTATATTGTGCTTAGCAACAAAAATTTTGGTTAATTACTTGCCAATTAACTTTGTATATTATTTTGAAGCCCAACTTTGTGCACTAATAAATGGTTTATGTTTTATAGGCATTTAATTATACCCAAAGGCTCGCCCTCTTTCTTATAATCATCTCAGTTTCTTGTGGCTACTAAAATGAGTAGCTTTCTGGAATTTTTGGTTTGTAAAGGTACCGTATTTTCCGCACTATAGGGTGCATTCAAAAGCTTCCAACCCCATCAAAAAACGACTGCGCGGCCCACAATCCAGAGCGCCCTGTACACGAATCGGGTGTCCCAGCACGACTTCAGTAAACTACAAAGCCACACCACTCGCAGAACACGCAAACACACACGGAGCAGACAGCGACCGCGCAGCAAAACACACCCACAGACACACTCATCACTCCACGCCGACGAGGAACGGAACGGAGGAACGAACCGAAAAAGCGAGTGTAATGTGCCACTTCTAGACACGACTGAACAACTGAGTCACTGCGAACACGCCGACAATCCGTTGGTCCCAGACAGCACCCTCCCTACACGCCACAACTGAACAAAGCCCAGAGTCACCGTGAACGCCACAAACAAACAAAACCACTCACCCATCACACTGTTGTGTTTCATTTAATGCGCCTTATATGTGAAAAAAGTTTGAAAATAGACCATTCAATGACAGTGCACTGCCTAATAGCCCGGAAAATACGGTAGCTCACCGTAGGAAAAAGGTTGGAGACCCTTGCTTTAGTTCATTAGAGATGAGCAGTTCCAGGGCTGAAATGATCCAAATGATTCTAGTGAAGGTGTATGAAGTTTAAATACACAGTGAAGTACTTTTTGTATTACCACATGACATGACAAATTGGAACAGATTGTTTTCAGTTTGAGAGCAGAACTCCGCCTAAATATGCAGAGTTTGCGTGTGAATGAAACAAAACACAACTCCAGGTCTGTTTGTGATGAGGAAACAACATTATAACAGATCAGAAAATAGCGTCCCTTTAAAATCTGTGTATCATTCCTTCATTCGTTTTTCAATATAAAACCAAAAATAAGAAAACGAAAAAACAACTGTTTTCTTTATTATTTGTCTCCAAAACCAAAATGAAAAAAACTGATAATGATTTGTTTTTTCAGTTTTCGATTTTGTGTTTAAATGAAGAATGGAAAAAACTGATAACGACCGTTTCCCGTTTACGTGACTTCCGTGACTGCAATGCCGGACTGAACCAGGACTGATCCAAGTCCGGGACCAGACCGGGACCAGACCGGGACTGAGACTGAGATCAGAACTGAGACTGGAATCAGACCGAGACTGAAACCAGACCGGGACCAGACCAGGACTGAGACTGAGACTGAGACTGAGACCGAGACCGAGACCGAGACTGAGACCGAGACCAGACTGGGACCAGACCAGGACTGAGACCGAGACTGAGACCAGGACCAGACCGGAGGCTCAGAGCCTACGGCAGGGCCAGAGCTCGAAGCTGAGGCTCAAACCCCGTGGAGGCTTGGAGTTAAAGCTCGGAGTCCACTCTGGTCCCGCTCTGGTCCTGGTCTGGTTCTGGTCTGGTCCCGGACCTGGATCAGTCCTGGTTCAGTCCGGCATCGCAGTCACGAAAGTCACGTAAACGGGAAATGGTTTTTATCCGT